CTTTATTGCAAAAAAAACCCAAACTGAACGGTTTACAATGGCCCTTTCCAGTCTGAGGGTGGCTTCAAATCTGCCAGGAGAGAGTGCTAATGATTTATCCACCTGGTAATGGTTTTCAGTCAGGAATTCTGTGAATTTTTTGGTTTGGGTTTTTTTGGTTTGTTGTTTGTTTTTTTTTTCCTAAGGTTATCTGTTAAGATCCGGGAACAGATACATTAGAAGAGTTATTACTTAGTGTTATTTTTTTATTAAGTATATCATACCTAGACAACACTGATCTTACTAAATTTTCACTGTGGATACTGAAGTTAAACATATGCATCACTACCAGACCGTTCTGGTTATCAGAAGACAATAATAAACTGATGTTTGTACTTTTATTTGCTCACCAATTTGTACATAATTGTCATTGATATTGCTCTCCTGTATTGCTTGTGTTTTTCTATTGAGTTTTTACTTTATCAATAATGTTTATTTTAAGTACTATTGAGACGGATGTTTTGCTTGGTTGTTTTTTCTTTCTGAAAAGAGTGTTTAAATCTGGAGATCTGACATTACAACTTAATTTGAATGTAACTTTTTAATTGGAGAATCCTTGCTCTAATATAAATTGCAAAGTCAAGTCATTAACTTGAGTTTCTTTCCCTGCCTGACACCAGTTAAAGAGTTAGGTTGGGTAGAGAAATTTTGGCCTCAGTTTGGTAGTCTCTAGTAGGGTAAGGAACGCTATATAGCACAGTTACCTTGCCTTTAGAAGAACTACTGTTCTATGAAGCCTAATCTCAGGGAACAGTATCTGGTTTGTAAATATTTTATTTTATAAAAGCAAGGTTGGGAAAAGTGAAGCAGAATTACTGAAAATAAAATAAAATTAGAAATTATTTGCCACAGAAAAACTGTACACGTTGTAACAATTGTGAAGTGTTTAGTTACCAGTTTTCGACATGATCAGGTTTGGTAGTGGCTCAGCCAAGTTAAAACAATGTGGAAAACTGGCAAAGTGCAACCTGGTTGAATAGTAGCTATCTAAGTTATGAGGTTGTCCCGAAGCAGAAGAGTCAACAATAATAACGGATCTTACAAAAAAAAACTGAGAGCTCTCATTTTGTAAATTTAATGCAATGGTAAGAAAGGAATAAAATCTGCTAAGAGTTAAATGGTAATTTCAGGTCAATAATGGTATGGCCTCTTCCAATGAAACTACAGATTTTTAAAGCATTGCTGATATTTAAACTTGTTTATATTATGGTAATTAAAAGTTCTTCTATTCCCGGTGTTCAAGTCATAGTAGACTCATATTCAGGTTTTCTTGTGTGTCCAAAGCCTGTACTTTACTGATCACTGTGGCTTAACTTTTCTCAGCTTAATGAGATTTGGGTCCTCTTTATGCTTTCTGTTAGTAGATCTACTTTCACAAGGTACATAATGGGACAATATAGCAATAATGGCTATGGAGGTAACTGGAGGATTTTGTGATTGAGTTTACTCATCTGGGTTTGCCTTGTTTCTTTACATATTTGCTGACTAATCTAAGCTATCATAATTCCATATATTCATTTTCTTCACATTTATGAAGCTTACTGCTAATAGAAGTCCACTGATTTTTAGCCCAGAAGTGGCTGTTCTTCAGTAATGTAGATGTGATGCTGTTTTGGTCTCGGGAAAAGCATCACTGAAGAGGTAATTGTATTTCTGATTTTTACTCTTTCTTAGGAAACGTCTGTCTTTGCTTACACTCCTTTATTTAGGAAGGACTCTGAAGTTCTTTAGGTTGATGCATGGGTAGGGCTTAATAACAAAAGAAATGTGATTTATGTTTGCTGCTTAGAGCCATAATATTTTCAAACAACAGCAGCATTGAAATGACAACTAAATGTACAATTTATTCTTGTCAAACAGTGTGGGCGTATTTGAAGTTGACAAGGCATAAACTGTGAAGTGGTCTCCCTTTTAACCAATGTAGCACTAATATACATTGATATAACGTGAAGGGATAATATAGTCTTCCGTGAATTGAAACTGCAAGAATTATGTAGAACTTTTAGAAGTTAATTCTACTCTTCCCGTATGAAGTTTTACGTTTATGTCTAAGGAGTTTGAACTCAACTTTTGGACATAAAGTTATGAAGACTAATAAGGAAAAGAATTCATTGGCAGACACAAAAAGATTGCTAAAATGCAAAGATGCAATGGGCGATGGAGCTAGGCACTTGCATACTGTCTGCAGGAGCAGAGGGCCATAGTCCATTGCACCCAGACCCTGGTGTGGCCCTAGGTCCGTCTCCTACCAGGCTCTGTGGACATCATCAAATCACCCTGATGACCTGGTTATGCCCGATGACCTGGTTATGCCCAATGACCTGATTATCTTCCCTGTTTTTGTTTTGTTTCCTTTGGAATCTTATACCACTCTATACTGGTGTTTTTCCTCTCGCATCCATGGGCTACTAGCAATCTTTGGCTGAAATTTTGCCTTCCTCATCTCACAACAGACTATTTCCCAGCACTTCCAATCGGGGCAGCCAGTCCTTGTACACAGGCACCAGGAGCTGCTGAGAAAAAAGGTTGTAACAGGTACTAACATTTCTTAGGGTATAGGCCTTGTTAGTGGACTGGCACAGAAAAAAGTAATTTTGTTGTCTTGCCTTCACACATGTGTCAGGCTACAGTTTGTTCAGAAATATGCTTTGAAAAATTGATATCCCCTTGAAGCTTCTGGATGTGAGTAGTTAGACTAAAGCCAGTGGAAAAGAGGTTCCATAATTGAAAGACCCAGCGTTTCTTGTCTTTAAAATGCCCTGGAATTGTGATAGATCATACCTTGGCAGCCAGTCCTAAAAAGGAGCAGAACATTCAAAACTGTTCTATTGTTAGAGCAAGCTTTAGGCAACCTACTTAAGCTATCAAAACAGAGATTAAAGTGAGGTTACCAGTTCCAGTTCTTTTCCAATGCATAACTGCAAATGCAAAAAAGGAAAAATTAGAAATTTCCTACATTAAAACATTGGTTACCTTGGGTCAGGCTTTTCTAGGAAGAAGGGGCTTTCCATCTAGGCCTCCATAAATAATGTTAACCCACAGCTCTCATTTTGCATCCTCAGTAACTTATGTGAACTTAATGCAAAACTATCTTTGAAATCATAATCAGCTGCATAGTATTTTGCAGAAAATAATCATTTCTGCAGCCTGATGAAGTAATAACTGTGGGTAATTCACAGAGGAATGCAATGGGAAATATTTTAAATTTCCATCTTTTTTTAAAGAAAGTTTTATATCTTATTTACTCTGAAAATTCAAAAGAGAATTATATAAGTCATCAAAATTTAACTTATTTATAAAGAAGTAAATATTTACCAAAGGAAATTGTCTCTTCTATATACTATACGCATTGGAATAGAATAATTAAGGTCTGTACATGTGGTAAGTATTTGTTGCTTATAAAGAATATTAGGAGGTGGTAAAAATTATTAGGAAAATAATGACCAGTTCTGAGTGTGTTTGTCCCTAACTTCTTTTACTGCAGCGTACGTTTCAATGCTTAGCTTAATGCCCAAGGATACTGGTTTTAATCAGAACTTGAATCCTGACTTATTAAACTTCTTCCAGTCTTACACAATAATCTTTAAGCATTAAAATTTAGTTGACTGCTGTTAACAAGTTTTTTTCAGTACATGATAAGGGCTTGCTGGATGTGCATAGGTAGAAATTCTTTTCTTTTACAGGAATGTGTCTTAGCAACCATGTCCTTTTGATTCCTTTGGGTACACAGGGAAAAGAAATTAAACTTTCTTTCTAATTAATGTAATACAGTTAGTCCAGATTGATGAAGGGGTGGCTGTACGTTTGTGACTGAGGGAATAAACCAAATATGTCAATTTGCATGAAAAAGTAAACATCGTGTGTTTGGCACAGAATTTCAGATTAATTGTCAGCACAATAATTATGTAAGTGTAATTAATGTTCAGGCTCTGAAGTCACTGGAGTAGCAAGAATGCCCAAATACAAATCTGTAGTGTTGTCAACATTTATGCGAGTACAGGAATTCTAAGGGTGCTGTTATATACAATTAAGTCAGCAAGCTGCCTGATTATCAGCTAAATAAAATGATTAATGGTTATGACCCTGCTAAATTTCTGACAGTCATCTCTTTGAGTGTAACAAGGCTGTTTTCTGGAATGGTGGATTTTGATTGCATATTGTCTTGCCACTTGTGTCTTTGCTTTCACCTTGCTATCCAGGCACCTTCTCCATCTCTGGTTTACAACTTAAACTAAAAAGGCAGTTCTTCTATTTTTTCATCATTAGGTTTGTTCTTGCTGCAATGATTATGTGCAGATTCTGTAATTTTTAATATTAAGTCAAGCTCTACAATTTTTAACATGTTTACTTAAATCTGAATTTGTACACTGAGCTGGAAGGGCTTGCAGGAGAATTTTAGTCCCAAGTATTATTTCCATGTTTTTTTAAAGAATACGAAAGGCACTATTTAGTATGCTATTTCATTTCTGTTGTAATAATTTTTAAGCCCAAGGCAGAGGCTATGTATTGAATTTGTTGATAAATCACATTTTCTCAATAGTAGTGGTGGGAGAAGCAGAAAGAGAGGATGCAGTTGGAGATTACACTTTGAAGGAGCATGGCTGAGAAGTGTAACAGAGCCTGCTCAGCTGAAATGCATTACTAAAGAAGAATAAACCAAATTGAAAGAAATGAAAGAGACTGAATCATGAAGGCACATTCTTCTAACTCTAGAGGAATATGGAGTATTTTTTTGTTTGGTTTTAAGTCCATCAGACAAGGAATAAAAATTTGGAAGAGCAGAGAGAAAACAGTTGTCCTTGAATACTGGATTCTCTTTGAAATACAGCTTGCATTTATCTTTAGAGATGACAAGATTTTTGTTTTGTTTTAAATAGTGTTATGGAGATGAAAGCCCGAAGACTCAGAAACACAAAAATGTGAAATAAATTACATTAATTGAGTCTTATTTTTCCTTTCAGAAGCTGTCTTTAGTCCACATGCCAACTGCATGTAGGTCCTCTAGAATCCAAGGACTTGCTTTTGAGGACACTGGACTTTGATCAGCTTGTATACAAGTGCCTTACTGGATATAAATTACTTCCAACTGCTGTGGAAAGTCACCCCTTCTTTGCAGTTCTCAAAGACAGCCCAGACAGTGGAGAAAATCTTTATGTGCTTGAAACTCCTGTTACTTATTTCACTGGCCTCAACACAAGGTATGGCTGATCAATGTGTTTTGCAGTGCACAGGGATTCCAGATTACGTTTAACTTTGTGTCCAAATTGTGACAATATTAAAATTTTTATTTTTACTCTGAAATTTGGCCTTAGTTTAGCACAGCTGTTTTACATTTTCAACTTTCATACTTGTTTTAAGTATTCACCAGCTACCATTTATATAGTTTTACAGTAATTTTTCAGTAATAGAGAGAATATACAAATATGTCATCTGTTAGAAGAAAAATGTTTCTTGTTTTGTTTCAATTATGATTCACTTGAATTCAGAGGATCAAGAAATAAAGATACTTCTAGCAATTTTAAATACATAATATTTCACATGAACAAGGGAATTGGGTAGCAATGTCATAGTTAAACAGCAGAGAAGAAATGTGTGACTAGATGTGTGTCCAATATTATGTATAGGTCAGTGGAGCAAATTAAGACAAATGTAGTTCAGTTGTCTTAGCTTTCTACTGCAGTTCGACTGTCCGTGTGCTCTCTGTTTTATTATAGTGAAGAATTACAGCACTTCTGCACATTTATCCTGTGTATCCAGGCATCTTTTTCATGGCCTTTTCAGTGTTTCTGATTTTCCCCCCAAATATGTATATTCTCTGAAATGCTTTTGAAACTGCAAGGTACTAAGCCTTCACCTGTACTTTCCTTGTACTGTCACTTTTTGTATTGTCACTATAGGATCGTGCAAATAGTTAATATAAGGGAAATGCAGAATCCCATTTTTCATGAGATGTTTGTATGGTTGGACATGGTAGAACTGATTCAGGGAACTGTCAGTCATGCAATGGAGCTGTTGTATGCAGAATCTTTCTTCCTAGACCTAATTGCAAGCTTCTCCACTAGTCTCCTATGATCCCAGACTTTTGCGTGTGTTATTTTTAAGGCTTGGTAGGGGAGTTCAGTTTTCTGTTAAACAGCATCATGTTTTCTGGAGACCTGAGAGATCTATCATGCTATGTACGTCTTGTTTTCAACCTAGTTCTTGCTGTTTGAAGTTTTTTCCTTCCTGGCCGATGTTTTTTTTCTCCACCACTATACATGTGGATTGAAGCATATTCTTATTTACATTTTGTTTCTATGTCTTCCCCATAAATGTAACAATGACTTTGGATTACTGAACTTTGTCTTAGTGTTTGTAATTTGATATAGTGACAGAGGTTGCGTTGGTTTATACACTAGTAGTGCTTTTGGTAGGGTGCTGAATGTTTGGGTTCTTTTATTGCCTAGTACATTCTTTCCACTTCCACAGTATTCTTTTCTGACACTTGAGGTCTTGAGCTGGTCCCTGTAGGAAAAAGCACTTTTAAACCAGGAGACAGAGACCTGCTTTCCTGAGATGTCTCTCTGATGGACACCTTGTGGAGGCAAAGGTGCCCAGATGCTACTGGAACTGCTGACATGACAGCTCGGAAGATTTGGAGGTCCACTCTGAATTTCATTAGATGCAGTGCAGAAAGCACTACTTCAGGGACAAAGATAAAAAGCACAGGTATTAAGAAGAAGAAATTATATTTGGATTTTTTCAGTTTGCAGACTGTGTTTCTTTAGACATTATTCAACTATTTGCATGACAACAATAGGCAAGATCTTATTGTCTCAGAAAAAGCTGTTACTGATATCCTTTCCAGCATGAAGAAACAGTGAAATTCCATCTGTGAACCATCCAAACAATTCTTTTATTCATGTTTAAGAGCCTGACTCATTTCTCCTTGCATTTCAGATTTGAAATGTGTCTCTGTAGATAATAAACAGCAACAATGAACACTATAAATAATTTAGTTGGTAAATCCAACAGATTTGTTCACAGAAGCAAAGGTGATGCAAGGATATGACAGTTCAGAAAAGCTATAGGAACACCCTTAGCTGGTTGAGTTAACTTCATTATGCTGCCAAGAATAACTCTGGAAATGCTTTGTTGCTTCCAAAGGAACACACCATTCCTCACTGCACAAACAATTGTACAAATGCATTTAATCTTTTATTCACATGGTGGCTGGTTGTCAGTCGTGCCTTAGCTGTCTTTCAGCTTCCTAATAAACTGTTTAGGACATTCTCCTCTGTCATTTTGGATGTCACTTAAGCCCTGTATTACTCAAAATATGTTTTTTGTTGGGTTTTTTTTTTTGTTTTTTTTTTTTTCCCTAAAAGCCCTAAGATGCAGTATGTCTAGATGTAAATGGTGCTAAATTTCCACCCATTAATATACACAGAGGTACATTATAAATGCCATTATAGATGCCTGCTATCGTAATTGCCTAAGGGTCCACAAAATACAACTGGTTATACAAAGAACAGGCCAGATACAGCTAGGCAAATTTTGCCACTTTCTTCTTGTAAAGATTATATTGTGGCAGGCGTACACAGTGAATTGTGAAGTGTTTTTTTCAGTAAGTGTGTATAGGCAGAAAACAGTCTTAGTTCAGTCTTTTGCACGTACACATGGTTGTGTATTCTTGTCTTTTCTACTTTCAAATGCTAACAGCCTATTCAGTTGACAGTTCACAACTGCATAGCACAAAATTTTGCAAAGATATTAATAAACTGACACTAATTATTAAAGAATATTATCCTTCAAAAAGCCCATACAGGATTATACCTAGTTCTTTATTTAATGAATACATTAAAGCATTAGAGCCAGCAAGGACAAGGACAGAACAATGTTTCCTGAAGTTAATGCCAGTCACCAGTACAAATACAACTTAATGACCAAATTGGTCTTCCCTTCCGTGTTTGTTTTCAGAAGAAAACAATCATGTTATTAACAACTAATACTTGCACTGCAGACAGTCTGTTAACAGAGATGGTGGAAGCCAGGTGATAGATGAGAACTTCTTCATATTTCATAACCAGAAAGATTCTGAAACATAAAAACCATGGAATTAACACCAGGAAGCTTATCTAGTACCCAAACTGGAATGGTCTCACAGTCTGTCATGGCTGCAGGGGCCTGGAGCACGTCCTTCTCCCCTGCCCTTGCCGTGCCGTGCCGTGCTCCGGGCCATTCCTCACACTTTTCCCTCGCTCCTCAGCGCTGCTGCCCTGAGGCACCGCCGGCTCCGTGCCTGGCCCAGCCGCGCCTTGTGCTGGGATCGGCTGGAACCGGTTAGACCTGGCTGTGACTGGCGCAGGGCAGACCCGGCTTTTCCTCACAAGGGCTGCCGCTGCTCTCAGAAGCTTGCTTCATGTGCCCAGCTAAAGACTTTGAGCCGGTATTCCATGCTTGTAGGTGATGCTTGGCATCCCTACCCTGAGACTGCTGGCTGCCTGGGACATGAAGGAGCACGAACACTGGTTTGGGGAAGCCATCCCCAGGGCCCTGAGGTACCTGCACATCAGGAGGAAACAGCAGTGGCAGCCCACCCAGGTGATGGGATTCTCTGCAAGCAGAGTAAGTCCTGTCTTCATTTTCCTTGGATTTGCCACATATTACTAGTTTCTCTGAATATTTGACTACAAGAATGCCCCAAGAGTTTACTATAGGTATTTGAGGGGGGAGCAAACAGCACTGCTGCCTGTTGCAGCTCTGCCAGTGCTGTTCAGGTTACCCATCCAGTCTGACCTCTGCTGCCTTTCCCTGGCAAGAGCTGGTTTTCTGGGTTATAGTACGTACGGCATGTTGTTAATAACCAAAGAACAAAGAGATAAAAAGTATAGCCAAGGCTGTTGTGTTTGCACCTTGTACTGCTTCCAAACTGGAAAGGAAAAATGGGGATGTTCTAAAAAAAGTAAAAAGTGCTTAAGAGAAAATACAAAATAAAGCTCTGAATAAAAAACCCTCTCCAGATGGTCATTAAATATGTTAAATGGCAGTCTGCTTTCAGCCCACCAGGCACCAGTTTTATTATTCTAATAACATCTTAAAATGAAAAAGATAAAGTCTTATAAAAAGAGGCTGTTAACTTTGATGGTGTTTAATCCGGATAACTTTTAGAATACACATTAATGTGCAAAGATACAAAACATATATTCAGCAACAAAAATGGTTCTCTCCTGAAAAGCTCTCGTGCAGACATCTCCAAACTTCTCCTGTAGGCCTTTGCATGCAGATGCTTAAACCCAGAAATCCTCAAAGGAAAAACTTCGCAAACACCATGTTTTAAAAACAAGGCAGTGATTTATAGACAAGTCAAAATTATGAATGTTGAAAGTTCAGAAGAGTAGGAGAGACAGTTTAGAAAGGTTGTTCCACTTGCAGTCTAAGCATTAGATATTACTCCATACACATGTTTACTAACGTTTGATACATATTCTACATACACATTAATAGTATTTGCTCATGCAATAAACCCTGTACTTGTAACAGTAATTTACAAAGGTGTTCATTTTATGTGTAGTGGCTTGGGATTTCTGTATTCATTTTGACACAAATATATATATGTTTCAGTTTGGTATTGTGTAAATATCAGGATTACTTTAGATTTTCAAAAATTGAAAACTGAATGCTGTAATGTCTGTCCACTTACTTTATTTGAGGTATCTGGATGTAAAAAATCTGAAAGTCTGAAGTGCAAAACCTCCTTTTAGAAATTCCCCAAGTATTTACAGTATTGTTTCAACTGAAGCCTCATTTCTGTAAAGGTATTTTAAGATGCTCAGTTTATAGAAGATTCTAATTCCAATGCTGAGACAATAGAACCTTCCAGATTTAGATATTTAATAAGATTTTTATATTGTTTTAAAAGTGCTGGCTCAGTTTTATAGTGCATCCAGAGAAGTTTTGTGCCTTTCTTTTTCGCATGCTAGATATGATTGCAAATTTTTCATACAGTCTTTACAACTAATTTATATTATCTATTTTTATGGCATGATGTAGTTCTAAAATGTTGAGGAAAGTATTTAACACTTCATGTTCACTGGATAGGACAGTTCCTACTAGCGTATTTATTTATTTCAGATGTTACTTCCCCCTAAGTATTCTTTTCCAAGCAGTTCAGTTGTCATGTTTGTCATGACAAACCCAAAATGGCAGAAGATAGGCTTTGACTCATTGTGCACATGTGAATCAACTTCTGTTAGTAGCAGTTATTGAATAATTTTAAGGAAACAGACTTGATGGATTTCTTTCAGTGGTTATTCTAATCCAGTGTCCATAATCTTTGTTTTCTGTCCTTGTTTTATTCATCTCATACCAGTCAGTTGTGTAAGCTCCTTGGTCTAAGTGATCATCATACAGTTGTTAACTATAATCAAGTCCTTTGTTTTTCACTGATTTTGAAAACTAGCTTAGAACAACATAGAAAGATGGTGACAAAATTAACTATTTCGCTTAAGTGGGGAAAGCCAATTTTTATATCCCTTATGCAAAATAGCCTTTAAAAAGTCGTAAGTAATCACTTTTGTTCTATGAACTAGAGGAATATAATCTTATTGCAAGCTAATTCTTTCTGAACAGCAGTTTCTGAGTGGAAGGGATTGAAATATACTGCTGATATTAAGGATTATGTAAGAAAAACACTTTTTAAAGTTTTTTTTAAGGTCTTTCTCTGCCTGCAGAATTTTCCTTGGTGAAATCTTGGAAAAAGATTCCCACTTCTGTCCACTGGAGCACTAGAGAATCATCTGTAGAATATTATGAAACATATATTTGAATTTTGATACCAAGGAAGCTCTGCATAGTGCTGTACTATAGCTACAGTATAGCAGTGTTCACTACAGTGCAGAAATGGAAATAGAATAATAAGAAATTTAAAGCGGTTGGAGATAAATGGATAAACAATCCAGTAAAGTTTATGTTGGAGAACTGCATTCTTCTTCCTTTTTATAGTAGAGTAACTTGTAAGGAGGTTTTTTTCATATTGTTTTCACTGTTTTTCAAGAGGAATTGACAGTAGAAACTGGTGTGATTTTTGGAGAGCAGGATTCTGAAGCACAGCGAGAAAGTTCCTAAGTATCTACTCTTTTAAAAGTTCAGATTTATTAATTGAGATGTCTTCTGTTTGTAGTAATAATGCTGATGTTAAAATGTGTACAAAATTGCACAGTTGTATGCTTGACAAAATTCTAAACTGATTAATAGTTTTAATTACATTCATAGAAGCATAGAATAGTTAGGGTTGGAAAGGACCTTAAGGTCATCGAGTTCCAACCCCCCTGCCATGGGCAGGGACACCTCACACTAAACCATGCCACCCAAGGCTTTGTCCAACCTGGCCTTGAGCATTGCCAGGGATGGGGCATTCACAGCTTCCCTGGGCAGCCTATTCTAGTGCCTCACCGCCGTCACAGCAAAGAACTTCTTCCTTATATCCAACCTAAACTTCCCCTATTTAGGTTAGATTTAAGGAAGAAGTTCTTTACTGTGCATGAGCGTTTCATGAGTGCAGGTGTTACAAGTGAAAATTTAAATTATTGGATATAAAAGTAAAAGGCAAGAATACAAGCTTGCAACTTTGGTATCATTCAGTGTTACCTAAAACTTACAAAATATTAACAAGTTGTTCTTAAAGCAAATTCTAATTTCTTTCATGTTCAGCTTCATTGCAAGTACAATCCCTTATGGTTATTGGTTCTGATGAGTGTAATGTCAGGTCACAGCCTTGGGGTGATAGAAGATGAAGGAAGGCATGAACTTGTTCGCAGAGTTAGCGTACAAGTTGGAAGGTTTCCTTGGTTAATAGAAGTTCATGTTTTCAATCATTATATACTTGATTTTCGTTTTCAAGCAGGAAATGTGTCAAATACAGCTTTTATTTTTTTTTTTTTTAATCACTAGGGCTTAGATGAAGCTTAATTTATTTCAGTAGCTGAAACTTGTCCTCTTAGTCATTTTCAAATAATGAAATCTTGCAGCAGTCATGTATTAGAAGGAGAAGCAAAGTGTCATGTTGCTTAAATTTCAGGGTTGTGTATCGCTGTTATCACCCCAAAAAGGGAGCAAATTTTGCTTATCTAAACTAGTCACATGTTGAGGTTCAAATAGAAGTCACATCAGAATGTAGTTTCAAACCGTAAGGGTGTTATAGAAACAGCAGACAATACCTTCATATCCTACACTGTCACTAAGTAACTCTACCTTCTAAGCCCTTTGAAAGGGAGTCCAGAACTTGAAATTTATGTTTAAATAAATATGTAAGGCATCATTCAAAGTCTGCCAAAGCTAATGCATTAGTAGGTGCCAAAACTCTAATCCCACTAAGGGAGCCAGACAAGTCAGTCTACTTTTGTTACAGTAACGCACTGAAGCCTGGAGTATGCTGTTCTCCAGTTGATCTCCAAGTAGTTGCTAGACTCTCCTCTCCTATTGTTACAAAAATTGAATTAGTCCTTCATGATGAGGGAAATAGGTGCAGATGATGTTTGATATTCTGCCTCTGGCAGTGGCTAATATTACATGCTTCAGAGGAAAAACAGAATATTCCATAATACCACTAAGTCCAATCTGCAATGCTAGATGTAAGATAACATGCCTTCCTAATGCCTGTAGGGCTAAATTATGCCTTGTTGCATGAGACTAAATTAATCTTTTCTTAAGCAGTGCTATTTCAGATATTGCTATTGGTCAATTATGCAGCCCCTCTTAAAATTCCATGCTCAGCTGTTGTACTGCATAAATGATTATTTCCTATTGGGTATTATATGTCTAGTAACCATAAATCTTTGTGAATAACCACTTGGTTTTTTGTTCTGACAGGTGCTTCCAGGGAATGCTTGTTAAAAGGAAGAAGTACTTCTGTCTGCATCTGGTGAAGTCAACCCCAAAGTATATGAAATACTAAAAAACACTGGCCAGAAACTGTGTCCTGATGCTCACAGGTAATCTTTCCTTTTGTACTGGCAGATGCTTAGAAAATCACTGTTTGAATCTACTGTGCTCACATTCTATGAGGATTCTAGTGTTTGTTTACTGTGGATCACACTAATTTAGAGCTAAAGGAAAAAATAATGGTTCCAGGACTTATACTTCGTAAAGTGATTTTGCCAGTGGCTAAGGTAAGGCACGTCATATGATAATGAAACATGGAATATTCTGTCATTCTTTGTCTACACTCCTACTAGTTTTATTAGAATTGAGAAAAAAAAAAAAAACATAGTATAGGGTGTGGAAGACATATCCACTCTAATTTGAATAATTTTAATATCTCAATCTAGACCTTTTTAGATCTTACCCCTCTTCTGATATGTCTTCTATATACTGGTGGCGCAGTGTCCCCCTTCCATTTCTCACAGGACTGTAATTTTCATTAAGCAAAAGGCATGCCAAAGAACGTACAATTTTAGCTGGGCGTCAGTCATCTTAGAATTGGTCTCATATCAGGTTCCAGGCAAAGCCAAGCTCTTGTTGGAATGATTGAGAAACAATAAAACAAGGATAATTATTTATCTGTAAGAATTTAGAGATGATGGGAACATATTAGGCTGTTAAATATTTCATCTTTTCAATAATTTTGCCACCTCTCTGCAAATCTGATTTTTCAGTTTTCTTTTTCTTATAGTCAAGGCCAGAAAAGAACTTAACTAAAAGAAAAGCACAGCCTCCTGCTGCTAGCAGACTCTGCCTGTGCAGAGATGACTGAATAGAAAAAAGACTTCTTTTGGGTTATTACTACTTGAAAAAAAAACAACGAACAAACAAAAAAAAACACAGCCAAAAAATCCCCTGACAGTTGCTACCTTTTCCCTATACTAGACAGTTCTTTGTAACACACACATACATTCACATGCCACTGGCCTTACTGCTGGGTGATCATTACTAGTTTAGATGATCAGCCGAGGCCAGAGTTTTCTATCCGCTGGTGGTTGTATGCCCCCACACCATTTTGCAGCTTTCTTGTTCTTTACTTAGATTTGCTAAAAGAGAAAATGCTCCTTACCCTTGAGCCCAAACCATTTTTACTTAGAGCTGCCTTTGCAGGTACAGCAGTGTATACAATACACATGATAGACTGCACACTGCTTTGCAGTACCGATAGCTTTGCTGTATTTTTTCACCCCCGGCAAAAAAAAAAATTGTTTCATTTGTTTTGAGCACCTCCAGAGCTGAGGAACTGGGGTGCACTGAGGACACCCTTTGTGATGCAGGTGCTCTAGATGGGAGTTGAAGCAGAGTCAGCAGTGCTTCTGTTTGGAAAAACCTAGAGAAAGTACCTCAAGGCTTGGTCTTAACTGAGTTTTCATGGCCAACAGCTAAGGAGGTATCAAGACACAGAGGAGAATGGGAGTTCTTGGTATCCATAATGCACAGCATACACAGCTAAATCAGGCCTAGCCCTAGTCTGTCATTTCCTGTCTTCACACTATATTTTCCTACCTATTGTTTTTTATCCAATTTATTCTGTGTTGTTTTCTTTTTATTTTTAGAGGGTTGGTTTATTTCCCCCCGCTGTTCCTTGATGTCTCAAACACCACATCTCTGCCAGGCGAGTGAAGCTGATTTCTAAAGAGAAATGTCAGAAATTCAGTACATAAATTTTGCTGTTGTAGAGAAAATACTTTATTTTCAGCAGCCTTGGGGTCTTCAGTTGTGGTATTTTTAATAAGGTCAGTCTTCATAAAAAATAATAGTTAAAAATAAGCTATTCTATTTTACTATAAAATAAAACCACTTCACCTGTGAAGGAAATGAAAGTGAATGATCATATTAAGAACTGGAGAAAAAGGAATGGACACTATGGGTAAATGCTGCTCTGTGCACCTCTGCCACAGTTCTGGATCAGACAAGTGGGACTGTAAGAACCTGCCTGCAAACTGTGTGTTTTCATCTGTGTTTGAAGAACCTTTTCAGATGTGCACTGCAGGAGTGCTTATGTCATTGCATAGCTCCTGACAAGTGATCTAGAGAGAAGAGAGTAATTGAATGCTAGCTTGGAGATAGAGATCATCAGCTGATTTTCCCTCTGAGATTTATATATGGATGACAGAATGGGAAAATAGAAAGGGAAATTAGGGTATTTTGAATATATTGAAGTTTTCTGCAGCTTCGTAAAAGTAGGGCATATCTGAAAAGGAGAAGTGCCTCAGACTTGCATATTTGGCTTTCACTAAGCAGCTAGTCAGTCCTGTTTCTTTGCTGCAGTTAGAAAACTCATGCTTTAATAATTATTCAATACGTAGTACTTAATTATTTATTAATTAATGCGTCTTGACTTTTGATTTGGCCCAAGCATATATCAAGATACTACTGTTGCACACGAATTCTCTTAACTGTGAATAGAAGTTATGAAACCATGCTGATTAATAACAATGTTGAATTTTCAGAGCATATAAATTCATAGTAAATTAACAATCAAAATACAGACATCCATTTTGTAGAGTAGTTAGGTTTTAGTGCAGTATCTAAATGCTTAATTCTTTCAAAGGTTAAATGCAAACTGGAAATGAGTAGTGTAGATATTGACCACAGTGTGTTTTTACACACAGATCTTTTAATTTTTCTTTTTTTTCTTTTGTTACATCAGATGTTTCATATATTGGATTTTGGTAATCATTCACCTGAAAAAAAAACAACAAAACACCAGCTGAGAACTGTGTAATTGCAGAAATAGAAACTACATTCTCTCATATGCCACAATTCAACCATGAGGATTAAAAACATTCTCCAAGGCAAAAAGTTGTTCTGGGAGAATGAGGTCTCTTGTACTCCTCAAGACATAGTTACCTGGAAGCGTAGTTTTCATTCCTGTCACAGTGGTGTCTGCCTCTATATAGTTCCTCAGTACTCACACAGCTCCCATTATCTTTTAGCTGGGATCCTTCAAATTTTTAACATCGTAAGACTATAATGGTTCATAATTTGTTTGTTTGGGGTTTCTTGAAAGTTGTCTTATTCAGATGAAGGAAAACACGTTTATTTTGGAAAGCAAAGCAAAAAAGTGTTGGGTGGACATTATACATCCAGAAGTTAGAAAAAACCTTACCCTACCAGATGTATCTTTCATTCAGCTTGACTGAAACAATTCTATTTTGCTGGGGAAAAAAATAATATTTCAAACAATTTGCATGTTATTATTGAATACTTATAGACATAACTGTGCATGGGGAAAAATCTAAACATTTGATCTAAAAAAAACAAGAGAAAATTAATAACATTGGAAAGGCCATTGTTTAGATGGAGTTTGCTTTAGGAATAGTTATCCATCTATAAATATCAACGATAATATATGCAGAAGAATGAAGTACCTACTGTGTAAACTGGCAAAAAAGTTAAAATGCACCATTAAATTAAGCCAAAGAGAAAAGTAGAACTTTAAATATTGCTTACTTGTTTTTAAATACTTTCAATATCTCTTTCCATGGCTCAGATAAAGCTATAATTTACAAAGGAAGGTAAGGATGCAAGAGGGTACATTTTGGGTGCAATATATGTTTTGTACAGTTTTGAAATATATACAGACCATGCTTTGCTCCCTCACTTTAACTGTAATTTGGCAGCTAATAAAATTATTATCCTTCATTGAAATTCCGGAAATTACCAGTCATCAGCCAGCTCAGAGATTGGGTATATAGCCAGCTCTATGGACTAAAAGAGGATTCTGGTCTGTTCCAAAGTTCCATTCTTAGTTATGACAGTCCAAATCCTATTCCCTTCCTTTTTTTTTTTTTTTTTAATGATATAACTTCATTTTTGCAATATGTGCACATTAAGGGTGAACCTGTCAACCCCTCTTAATTTTCCCTAGGGATCTCACTTCTTCCCCCCGCTCCAAGATTCCTTGAAGATGAGACCTTCTGTATGGTCTGATGCCTAGAAAATGCTTTATGAGGGAAATTTTTGACTCTAGGTTTGTTCATATTAGGGGCTTTTGTATAATATGGTGACTCAATTTCCATCATCAAAAAAGAGATTTTTAACAATGATTTAATATTTATCCTTTTGTTGGATGGGAAAAAAATTTCGTTGATCTATGGGGAAAGAGCAGACAGGACTGTTGTTGTAAAGGAGATAGTGCCCCTGCAAAGGGCAGAAGGTAAATCTGCTTGTCGTGTAGTGTAGCATTTCCTGACTCTGAGCCATCATCATCTTAGAGCATCAAAAGGTGGGGGAAGAGCTCCAACTTCTTAATGTGAGAAATGAAAGGAAAAAAATTACATGTGTGCTTAATAATATTTCCTCCATTAGGAACAGTTAAAAAACCTGTCTCCTCCAGTTTGGTTTTTCATGATTTATTATTCAGATTTTGCTCATTAATCTATAATGCTTAATCTAGTTTATGTACTATGATATATTTATTTAGTAATTTTTTATATTGAGAGGCTGATTCTGTCCTTTATATTGTTTACTCATCTCCAAACTACCAAAAATTCTAGGGGAAAATGGATTATCTCAATGTTGCAGAGAAAATGCGCAGTCCTAGATGTTGTAATATAATGAAGATGAAATTTGGCATTCTTTGGTTTTACTAGTCTGCAGTCTATCACTTCAGTATATGAGAGCAGACATTTCTTTCTTTACTATTTAATCAAGTATCTAAAGATATTAAACTAGAATAAGTTAAGGGCTTTTAATAGACTATGAAAATGCAGCAATTTCAAGATTGCTGTCAAGTCCACATTAATTATTCTTTAATTAAATGCAGTATTTTTAGCCTAAAGAAGTGCAGACATTTTGTTTGAAATAGGGGGTAGGGATCTATAGAAATCAAACCTATTAAAAAAGCTTGATTTGTAGTATGGAGAGGGGAAAAAAGAGATGACCAAATATGTCATACTTGAAGCAGAGATGAAAGAGAACTATGTGATTAAGAAGAGGAATAGAAAACCAACAGATCTGTGATTTAGGAAAAGGCTAGAGTGAGATGACTATGCCAGATTTAGGT